TCCCCACCTGCTGCGATGGCCCCGATCAGGGGCTGCATGACCAGCACAAACGGGTAGTTCCAGGCCCCGATGACCAGCACCACGCCCAGGGGCTCGTAGTTGATGTAGGCCTCGTCCCTCAGGGTCAGCAGGTTCTTCTTCACGGCCTGAGGGGCTGCCCAGGACGGCAGCTTCTCCATGGTCAGGGCCAGCTCCCCCAGCACGCCCAGAATTTCATGGCTGTAGGCGTTGGGCCCACACTGAAACAACAGGGGGTTGGGGAAGGGATGGCAAAGGCACCCACCTCCCACAGCCACTGTGGCACCCTGGAGAGTCAGAGTCATCCAGTTCCATGGTGGGGGGCACAACAAAAACCATTCATCACTGCAGAGGCTGCCCTCGGCCTTCCTGCTCTGCTCAGGGTTAACCACTGTCCATGCACAGCAAAAGGGAGAGGCCCCTGACAGCACAGACCTTGTTCAGATCCGCCTTGAGGGCTGCCAGGATCTCCTTCTCCTTCTCCTGCACCATCCTCTCCAGGGCCTTCAGCTGCTGAATCCTGAACTCCAGCGGGCGGCTCCGGCCCGAGCTGAAGGCGGCCCTCGCCCGCCCCACGATCTGCTGCATCCTCTCCATGGCCGCTGAGCACTGAGGAGACAGCGGTGACACCCAGCTCAGCGCAGGCCCTCGAGGGCTGCTCAGCCCTGGGAACACCACCATGAGGTGTCCCACCCCGAGCCAAGCTGGGAGATTTGTCCTTCTTGGAGAGGAGCTCCCATTGCCAAGCTGAGCGCTCCGGGCTCACAGCACGCACAGGGCACCTCTCACAGCAATCTGGGCTTTGCTGGTTGATCCTGCTCTGAGGGTGCTTTCTCTAAGCTTCAAAGGCACCAGCCACTCCACCCTCTGCTCACAGGGATGCTCCCAAGGAGCCAAAACACAGAGATCGCTGTGGCTGGGTGGGCAGCAGAGCTGTGTGCACAGAGCCAGCCTGCACCCATCTGCACCATAACCCTGAGGCTCTCACATGTCCTCACAGAAAAATGACAAAACACTGCAAAGACTTCATCCTGCTTCCCAGGAGCAGCATTTCACTCTTTAGTCACAAGCAGAGATCTGGTCCTCCATCCCTGCCCAACCAACCAAGACAGCAGGATCCCCTTACAAGGATTAAATCCTCCCCAACCCACCACCACAGCTGTGTGACACAGCCCAAGAAAGCAAGTGACTCATAAAAAAAAAGAAGGAAAAAAGCAAGTTACCTTCAGAGAAGCTTCTCTCTCCACCAGCTCCTGTGGCAAGTGCAAGCAGGCACAAGCCCTTCCCCTGCCATGGCTGGGGGCGATCCCTCCTCCCACGGGAGAGCTGGCCCTGGCCCAGGGCTCTGGCTGGGTACAAGATGCCCTTTACCCAACCCTGTCCTGGGCTGGGGAGCCCTGGATTGCTGCTCCCAGCCAGGGCAGTGACTCAGCCCTGGTGTGGGATGGCAGAGACCACGTGGCTTTGCCCACGCCAGGGACAAGGCCCACATGCCACAGCTGCTGTCGGGAGACAACGCTCAGATCTGGCAGCCAGAAAACCCCAAGCAGGCAGGTGGCAGGCAATCCAGGCATGGATCTGAAAGGGGGAAACGGGCCAGCTCCTCCACTGGCTCACCCCACTCCCTGCCTGGTTCCCAGGAGCATTTTCAGCACCCAAGAGAGCTCCTGGGGACCCTTCCCAGGGTGCCAGGGACACCTCACAACACAAGTGTGCCATTCAGCCAAGCCAAGGCCAGAGCTGGGACCAGCAGAGCAGGATTCCTCAGGAGACTGCAAGGACTTACCACACTCGGTTTATTATTTAAATTCTCAGTGTTTATTTAGTGGCTTGCAAAATGTATCATCAAAAAGGCTTAGTACATGGATTTTCACCAGACATGAAGAAATCCCACTTATTGCACAGTAAATATAATTTTCTACTCTATATTAATTGCATTTAGTAATAATTGTTCAATTATTTTGTGAAGCAGTTCTAAAGCTCTTTCACCTTCAATTCCTTCAGCATCCTTCCCCCAAGCTAGAACAAGCCCCACATTATCCCCCAGTGCAAGATTACAGCATCTTGAGAAGCTCAAACACAAAGGAGCACACACACTCTTCCAGTAATTGTTTTTCCTTAGAGGAATCTGACCAGGAACAGCTTTGGCTGGGATGAAGTTAATTTTCGTGGTAGACACCAAGTTTCTTCATGGAAGGAATGTTTTGGGTTTGTGACATTGGGAGTTATGGTGTTTGTCTTCCCAAGTCACCACCAGGTGTGATGATGCCCTGCTCTTCTGGGGATGGCTGAACACCTGCCTGATGAGGGGAATTAATGAACAAATTCCTTAATTTGCTTTGATTTGCCTGGAAAGCCCAGTTTTCACTTCACCTACTTTTATCTCAATATACAACTTTTCTCACTTTCTTCCAATTCTCTTCCCCATCCCACAGGGAAAAAGCAAATGGCTGTGTGGGGCTGGGCTAATCCACAAGGTATTATTTGTCATTCCCACTTCTCTGAACAGGCCTGAAAGTTCTTTTGCTCCAGCATGAGACACTCATCAGCACAATACAGGCAGTGCAGCCATCACCTTTGGAATTTTCTAACTGCTAAATAACTGTTAAAGGCACATGATGAAACACAGAACCCAGCAAGCAGCCCCTGACCAGCTGAGGATGATTCTGGTTTGAAGAGATGTGAGAATGTTTCACCTCAATTAAATGACAAGGGGAACCTCACTGGGTTTATTCACAGCCATCACTTTTGGCCAAATGCACTGGGCAGCACAGATTGTCTCAGGCTTGTCCCCAAGAGAGGGGTGTTCAGATCATCCCCTAAACTGCAGGGAAAACACTGTCAACCCAAGGATTCCTGAAACTTCAGCTCCTGTTGGTCACTGCAGGATGGTGAGTGGTTTGGTGCAGGACACTGTGTCCCTGGAAGCTCTGCATGGCACAAGGCGGAGGTAGGGACTGGAATTTCTTGCTCTACAGTCCTCCTTCAAACAGCTTGTCCCCACTGGTCCCTCTGTTCCAGCATGGCTTTTAAGTAAACAGGAATCTGAGCCTTCTCGTGGTTAGTGCCTCTCTAAGTCTACTCTGTGTGCTCGACAGCTCACTGAAATCACCCAGAACAAAAGAAAATAATGACTTTCCAGCTTAAGGAAACAGACACAAAGCGAGCACCCAGAGTATGACGCGCACATGGTGCCTTCTCCTCTCTTCATCAGTTAACCACCTGTGAAAGCAAAACACAACACCAACATCCTGTGAAGGATCTGCTGAGGCAAAACCAATCCCCTTTCTAGAACAGCCTGAAGCAAAGCCCCTTCAGTCAGGGGGGTTCCCCAGCGTGCAGCTCGCCTGCCCCTCAGCATGCACTGGTTATCTCAGGTGTCATCGTGCTCTGGCTCAGCCCCACATTCACTCATCTACAAAGCTTTTCCCAATCTCAAACTAGGTCTACACACAGGAGAAGAAAAAGGCTCCTACCTCACTGTGACAGCCACAGCAGTGCTCTGAAACCTGCTCCTCCTTACCACCCGCTGGGCCAGCCCAGCCTCTGCACAGCCAGCACAACCAAGAGGGCTTTTCTCTTCAGCACAGACTGGTGGCTCTGAGAAACCCAAATGATTTCAAGATGCTGTGAGTTTCCCCCACTCTCATTCCCCTACACAGGGCCTGCCTCCCTGGCTGCTGCCTCAAGGCCTGAGCCAGTTCATGGCTCTTACAGCTCCTCCTGGATTATGTGAGCAGGTTATTTGCCCTGGATGCTGGGCTCCTGAGTGTGTCCTTGCAGCAGCAACTGCACAGACTGAAGGGCAGAGTCCTGATCCACCCTGCCACCTCCTGTGCCCTCAGGAGCTGCTCCCTTAAGCTCACTAAACCCCACAGAGCAGTCAGCGAAGGCACATGGAGTGTCTGGTTTGTCAGATATGAACAACCAACAGTGACCACGCTTAGAGATTCAGATCTTGTTCCTCCACCTCAGGAGGCATCCTGAGCCTCCTGCAAGCCTCTGCCTCCTGCAGAGAGGAGAGGACATCCCACCCTTCCACAGGACCCAGATGGAAACAAGGGAGGAAATGAGAATAATTGAGCTGAGGTCAGACAGGGGCTGCAATGGGCAACAAGGACACAGCTTCCCTCCCCAGGGTGCCACGGCACAGATTGCAGCTCTCTGGGCTGTGAGGCAGCTCAAACACTGCTGAAGGAAGCCCTGGAATGGAAACTACTCCTAACCAGTCCAAGACTACCAACCTCTGCCTCTGGAGGGAGCATCCCACCAGTGTCACCTACCAGGGAGGAGCAATAAGGAGTTCAGCAGTCAGCGAGGTCACTCCAGGGATAGTCCTATTCTACAGATCACTTGCAAGAGTGAGAAGGTAAGAATTTAAGGTGGGACAGATATAATAAATCCCAAGACAGAAAAAGAGGTCAGGCTTTATAGAAGGGCTGCAGTTGCAAAGAACAGATTGGGCAAATCACTCATGCACTGCCATAGACAGCAAAGACCCAAAACTCACCTTAATCATCACTGCTGCCACAACCCCCAGCAGGGCCAGGACAAAGAGCCCAATTCGGGCCTTGTTAAACCGCTTCAGGAGGAAGAACTTGGCCCAATCCACCTTCTTCTGGCTTCCAGGTGGGTACCTCATTTTGTTGGTGCTCTCCATCTTCAGGTCCTTGATCAGGCAGGCACGGCGGTGGGAGAAGGTCTCGAAGCTGTGCTTGCCGTGGTAGGCGCCCATCCCGCTGTGGCCTGAGGGACACAGCCAGGCAGGTCAGCCAAAACTCTGTCCACTTGAGGACAACTGACCCTTCCCCTGCAGCACTTCTCAGTCTCTACAGTGTACTCCAGCCTTCCTCACCTCGTTTCCACCAATCACTCATTAATGGTTTTAATGAACTTTTCCCATCAGGTTGCACTAAATGTTTCAATCTTTCCAAAAATACATCCAAAGGTTTTTCCCTTCTGGAAAAGTTCTGGGAGTCTTAATGCACTCCCAGAACTTACCATTATAATCAAGACCTGCTGCAAGAGACTTGGGCTGTAGGAGGCACAGGGATACCCAGACACAAACCATGAGTTGTTGTTCCCTGGCACAGACTGTGCCATAAGTACCAACTCTTAAGGAGCTCCAGTAACTTACCAACACCACCAAAAGGCAAAGTTGAGAGGAAGAAATGCATGATGACATCATTTCCAGTCACACCACCACTGGAGGTTTCTGAGATGACTCTCTTGATTAACTAGAAAATGAAAAAAAACCAAAAAACAAAAGAGAAGATTAAAAAGGCTTAAAGAAGAGACCAGACTGTGTAACTGGGGATACTGGAAAGGGAGCTACAATGCTGATCTCCTCTGGCACAGCCCAGACCCACCTGCTTGTTGTTGGAGAAGACATAAAGGGCAAGGGGCTTCTCCCGATGATTGATGAATTCAATGGCTTCATCCACGCTCTTCACAGGCACAATGGGCAGCACTGGTCCAAAGATTTCCTCCTCCATCACCTTGGACTCCGGGGAAACGTCCGTGAGGATGGTTGGAGCTGAGGCAAACGGGACAATGGGACAACAGCATGAGCAGGACACACATCTGGCCCAGGACAGGACCTTGTCCTGGACACTGCTGTGTTCAACATAACCCAAGTCAGGCACAGACACACGGAGCCCAGGAAGCGCCCACCACCACCTCCCCTCCACAGCAGCTGCCAGGAGCACCTATGAAGCAGGAGGCCTCATCAGACTCTCCCCCATGAGCGATCTTCTGCCCCTCCAGCAGGCTCTTCACCCTCTTGAAGTGACGCTGGTTGACAATCCTTTCATAGTCCGGAGATGACTTCACATCTTCCCCATAGAATTCCTGAGCAAGGGCACAGCAGCAACAAAAGTGCTCAGCGCACCTTCCAACAGCCACAGCTCCAGGAAATCACACCTGGAACAATCCCCACAGCACAAAGAGCTCCTCCCTCACCTTCAGAGTCGCCTTGATGTTCTCCACCACCTGGCTCTGGATGGAGGGGTCGCACAGGATGTAGTCTGGGGCGATGCAGGTTTGCCCACAGTTCATGTACTTGCCCCACGTTATCCGCCTGGGACGAGGGACAAA